CTTTGGCTTTCAGTGTTTAGTGTGCAAGCTCTATATTGAACATGGGCTAACGTCTTCTTACTCGAACTCGCCATGTTGAATCCTTGATAGCTGAGGTGGCAAGCCTTAAGAAAAAGATTAGAGGGCTCCAGCACGAGAATAGAGAGTTACACATGCTTGCCAATAGTTACTTAACGAGCATGAAGAGAAAGCTTGACCAGCTTCAGGAATTCGAATGTCGGATTCAGAGTGACCATCAGATGTTTGTGGCTTTACTCCAAAGGCACCTATTGCCTTCGACCTCTGGAGTCTTACCGAGTGTTGAGGCACCAAACAATCAACCTCCGACGCCTCTTCTTCCTGGAGTTCCGTCGAGTGATGAGGCTCCACCTGATTAATGAAGGCTCTTTTCTTTTTTTTTTTTTTTTTTTTTTCTTTTTTTTTTTATAATTATGTTTTTAATTATTTTATTTTTTATTTTATTTTTTAACTCATGTACATCCACATTTCTATAATTTTTTCAGAGATATCAGTAAATGAGCTTTTATTTGACTCAGTGTACATTTTTTTTTCTTTCTTTATTTATTTTTATTTTTATTATTTATTTATTTATTTATTTATTTATTTTTTTGGTTATGTAAATTCTAGATTTGTTGTGAAAATGGATGGTGAATGGATGGTAAATGAATGCCCACTATGTAGTGGATGTTGTAGGTGAAGTAAGTGGATGATGTAGGTGAAATGAGTGGGGACTGTACGTGAAGTAAGTGGATGTTGTGGGTGAAATGAGTGGAGATTGTAGGTGAAGTAAGTGGATGTTGTGGGTGAAATGAATGGAGATTGTAGGTGAAGTAAGTGGATGTTGTAGGTGAAATGAGTGGAGATTGTAGGTGAAGTAAGTGGATGATGTAGGTGAAATAAGTGGATGTTGTGGGTGAAATGAGTGAAGATTGTAGGTGAAGTAAGTGGATGATGTAGGTGAAATGAGTGGATGTTGTAGGTGAAATGAGTGGAGGTTGTAGGTGAAGTAAGTGGAGGTTTTTGATTTGTCATTTTGCATTTTCATTTTCCTATATAAGAAAGACCAAATGTATGAGGAATTGTACATCTTCAACATATATCTCTCTCTTATCGTGCACATTGCCCTTGCTGCCGCCGCCGTGAGTCTTGGTGCTTGGAGCTTGTTACAGTACGTCACTTTTACCGTGTGGGTTGTGTAAAAGACTGCAGCGAGTTTATGCTGCGTAGAGCCTTTTGGTCATAACTTTCCTCGGTGGTAATGTTGTCGTGCCTCTTGCCGCTGCTTGAAGCTTGTTGCAGTGTGTCACTTTTACCATGTGGGGTTGTACAAAGACTGTAGCGAGTTTATGCTGTGTAGTGCATTTTGGTCACAACTTTCCTCGATGATGACGTTGCCGTGCCTCTTGCCGCTTGCCATGGTCTCTTTGTCACTACTACTTGGAGCTCGTTCCAATGCGTCACTTTTACCGTGTAAGGTTGTGCAAAAGACTGCAGCGAGTTTATGCTGTGTAGCGTCTTTTGGTCACAACTTTCCTCGGTGGTGACGTTGCTGTGCACACTGACCTTCCTACTTGCCGTGGGCTCTTTGCCGTTGTTGCTTGGAGCTCGTTCTAGCGCGTCACTTTTACTATGTGGGGTTATGCAAAAGACTACAGCGAGTTTATGTTATGTAGTGCCTTTTGGTCACAAGTTTCCTTGGTGGTGACGTTGCCGTGCACACTAACCTTGCTACTTGCCATGAGCTCTTTGTTGTTGTTGCTTGAAGCTCGTTCTAGTGCGTCACTTTTACTGTGTAGGGTTGTGCAAAGGACTACAATGAGTTTATGTTGTGTAGTGCCTTTTGGTCACAACTTTCCTCGGTGGTGACGTTGTCTTGCACACTAACTTTGCTACTTGCCGTGGGCTCTTTGCCTCTGTTGCCATGGTATTTTTCAAGTGTTTTAAGAGCAACACCATCACCATTCTTGCGAAAGAAGGTTATTCGCAAGATAGGGGAATGACGTTGAAGCTTTGTGCGCCATTGTCAGGCTCTAAGGCGTTTACCTTTCCTGCAAAAGACAACTCGATGCATATCAAGTCGTGGTCTTCTGAAGTGTCTTGGGAGGTGACAATTTTTTGTTGACCAAATACAAAGGAGAATGTGTGTACATTGAGAATTCTCATCTTAAACCCTTCGCATCATGCACGTGATAATTCTCAGGCTTTGTTTGAGCTTCTTGGAGATCGTATCCGTAACGGAGTTGTGACTTGGAGTAGCACTTTGTCGACTACTGGAGAAGCTGCCTTTGCGGAGTTTTACTGGGAATGGCTTGAAGATGTCTTGAGCTACTCCAAAGATGTACTTACCAACGTAGGCCTTTATCATGTTGTCTATGCGTCTTTGTTCAATTATGATGGCCAGTCTTTGTTCAGTTATGATCGTCATCCTTCCGTCCTTCGTGCATTCTTTGAGCATGGGTGTTCAGTGACCAATACACTTCACACATCTCAAGAAGAGATGTCACTTTCACTTTGGGATCTTCATAAGATAGAAGGCTTGCTGATCCAAGGAAAGTTTTATGATAAGGTTGTTCTTAGCGCGGAGGAGTTTTCTCATCGCAACAGCCGATGATTGCCTGCGAGCTGCCACTATTTGTTCTGGGCGTACCACAAGCTTTTCCAGGAGTCTTAGAGTAAGTCAGGTGTGAAGATTTCTTCATGGATCCGATTTTGGTATTGGGATCCCATGAAGTACAAGAGGCCTTTGAAGAAAAGTGGCCTCAACAAGACAACCATGCCTAAGGGAAACTCGGATTCGTCCAGTGTCATTGGTTCAGTTGGGCGCCGTAGCCCTGTCGAGTTGAGGGCATTTGAGGATTCTGGCATAGCGTTAGAGTATTTGGAAGAATCTTACCTAGCCGTTTTCTTAGCTTGTTGGCTCTGTAGGTTTGTTTTCCCCAAAAAACGATGTTAACTTTATCCGTCCTGGAGTCTTTAAAGTTGCTAGCAAGATGGCGGTAGGCGAATCTTTTAGCCTTGCTATTCCGGTTTTAGCCAACATTTACCAGGGCCTGAGTGTTGTTTCGAACTCGGCAAATACTGAAGATCGTGCTGCAGTGCTTCCCTACCACTTTGTGTATGGTTGGTTGGGTGAGTACTTTGGCACTCATTTTTCTATGTCATCTTTAGGCAAACTAGGGCCTTCTTCACTAACTTCAGTCAAGTTGGGGCCTTTGCTGGTGAAGTATTCTGGCGTGCTTTCCGCGAAAAGCCTTGATGATTCATAGGCACAAGCGTTGTACAGAAGTTGTGAAGGCTTGAAGATGGACCATCTAGCGAATGTTGCCTCGGCGCGGCGAGGAATCAAAGACGATTTGCATCTTTGCTTCTCAGACTTGTTTTATCTTATAAGTCTTTGCCCAGGGTATGTTTCTTTGCGACAAGGAGACCGATGCATTGGTCAGCCGTATAGTCCCTATCATTTCAGTAGGCAATTTGGTTTTGTCCAACATGTGCTAGGCAAGCTGAAGGAAAATGCCCAATCGAAATTTCTGCAAGCCACGTATATGCATTGGGAGTCTTGTTCCCGTTTATGTACAAATGCTTCTATCATCTTGCCGACTAAGGATGAGTTTAAGAACAACCCAGTGACCCGCTCTTACATAAATTGGTGGTCAAAGGTACATTATGAAAACTTGGGGATGGCAACCAGTACCAATTCTTCTTATTCTCGTAATTATGCGCCGAGAGAAGGTTGTTTTGTGATTCCTGCGCAGCTAGTACTTCTTGATTGTGTCACTACAGCTTCTTTGCAAGATAGACCTGTGGTTTTAGCTCTTCAGCGCCCGTGTTTGTCTCCTCAACATTTGGATGCTTATGAAGAGGCGAGTGATAAAGTTGATTCGTGCGAAGGTGGACTTATTTTGCAGCAGCGTCAACAAATTATAAACAAGCGACCACTTGAAGGTGCCCATGCTGACAGCGACGTCAATTTTCGTTATAAGAAGAAAGAAGTGTTTAGGCCTCCTCAATTTGATGGTCGTGTGTCACTTAAGAAAGATGTACATATTTCCTTCTTTCTTATGATTTCTTTTGCTTTCACTGTTTTAGCTTTGATTTCTAACATCTTTTTTTGTCTTGTTTAGGCTGGGCCCTCTTGTTCTTTTGATCTGGTGAACGGAAGTGTTCATTCCTATATGGAGATGCTACTTGGAGGTAATTTACCTACAAACGAGGAGGTTGGGGATCTGCCTGATGCAGAGCTTATTCCGAATCCGTAAAGTTGCCTTAATTTGCAGTGTGCAGGTGAGGGTATGCAAGGGCCCATCATGCATCCAGCATCTTTTCCAGCTAGCTCTGAGATCTCTTTAAGAGGGCCGAACCTTCGTGGTACTGAGCAGCTTATCCATCGCATTAGACTTAATGCAGCTATAGATGTCAAAAGCCATATTGAGGAGAGGAACTCAAAGTGCCCATGGGAAGACCTTGCGTTGCTCAAGGAGGACTTGTCGAAACTTGTTTCTGGGATTGACAACCTTAACATTGATTCCTCGCCCTTAAGGGTTCAGATTGCCGAACTTATGGCCGCCTTGACTGAGTATTCTTCCTTCCGTGATATTTCCTCGAAGAAGTTGAGTCCAGGTGTTAGAGCTCAACAACTTGCGACAATGGATTTATCAATTGCCCAAGTTCGATCTTCTTAGCAAGCTGTTTCGAAAGATTATCAAGTCACATGGACCTCCTTAGCTTCCGTCCAAATGCGTCTAGAAGCGTTGGAGCGAGGTTGAGAGCAGTTGGGAATCGAAGCATCATAACTTGAAGGCGTTCTCTCGAAGTAGGAAGCTACGATTTCTCAGTACCAAAAGGAGATGTCAAGCCTAGAGCAAAAGAAAGACATGGCTATGGAGTTGCCTACCTTGTCTCCCACTGATGTGGAGACTTTGAAGACTTTGGAATGCCTGCTTGAGGATTGTTTTTGTAGTTTTAGGAGCATAGTTCTCTAGTAATGTCTTCATTAAGCTTTATTGGCTTTTAATCTTTGTAGCCAAATCCTTCATTTTAAAGAAATAAAGTATTCACATTTTGAATTTGCTCTTTATTCTTCAAAGTGTTTGCGTTTTTTTTTTATTTTTTATTTTTAATGATGTGACTGTACTTGAAGTTTTGAAATTTCAAGTTGCCTACGTACCTTCGGTTGAGGAGGGATCAAGTCATGACGTAGTTCAAATGAGTGATGGTTTTGCTGATGATTTTGCCGTACACAGTTTATGCTCTTGCGGGCTAAGAGCGTGGTGCGTTTGCTTTAGGGGTAGTAATGCTTCAAGAATCTGCCATTGATGGGGCCGATCTTCAAGCCATCTTCTGCCGTGATTAAGTAGGCATCGTTGGTGTAGACCTCTTGTATTACGTATGGTCCATCCCACTTTTATGTGAACTTGCTTTTTGTCTTGTGAGTTGTGATGATAGGCCTACGCAATGCGAGGACGAGATCTTCAGTTTGGAAGGACTTTGGGCGGACTTTCTTGTTGCATGCCTTGGATAGCCGTGCTTGGTAGCATTCTAAGTGTTGTTGAGCTTCGAGCCTTTTTTCATCCAGCGCTTCCAGCTCTTGAAGGCGCAACTTTGTATTTTCTTCATCAGTCAAGCCTTCTTGTATAGCCATCCTTAGTGAGGGGATTTAACTTTCGAGCAGTAGAACAGCTTCCGTGCCGTATACGAGAGAATATGGTGTAGCTTGGGTGAGAGTCCTATGTGTAGTCCTATATGCCCAAAGTGCTTTACTTATTCTTTCATGCCAAACTCTCTTTGTTCGGTTGATTACCTTCTTCAGGAGGTTGCACAGCATCTTGTTAAATGTTTCTGCAAGACCATTGGCCAGAGCATGATACATGAAAGACTTGTACTGTTTGAACTTGTATTTCTCGCAGAGCTCTTCTACGAGTCGGTTGGAGAACTGTTTTCTGTTGTCAGTGATAATGTAGTAAGGTACACCATATTGGTGGATGATATGCTCTTTGATGAAACGGATGACAGTTTCTTTCTTGACTTCCCTCAGGGGTATGGCTTTAGCCCACTTGGAGAAGTAATCAGTTGCAGCTAGAATGTAAGCTTCTCCTGCATATAACTTTGGCATAATTGGTCTTACAACGTCCAATCCCTATCCGTCGAATGGCCATGAAGCAGTTGTAGGGTGTAATGGTTCAGGCGGTTGATGTATGAAGTTGGCGTGGAATTGGTAGGCTTGGCACCTTTTGGCATGTTCCAGGCAATCCTTCACCATGCTTGGCCAGTAGTAACCCATTCTTTTAAGCTGGAAATGCAGTTTTGGTCTAGACTGATGCACTCTGCACACACTCGAGTGTGCCGCTTCCATGGCTTGATTGGCTTTTTCCTTGCCTAGACATCTTAAAAGTATCCCTTCAAAAGAGCATCGGTAGAGTGTTCATTTGTAGTAAAGGAAGCGGGATGTTCGTTGACATATTTCGGAGCAGTGTTTAGGATCATCTGGAAGCTTTTCGTGCTCTAAGTAGTCGATCAGCAACTGTCTCCACTTTTCAGCGTCGACTGGAAGTACTGAGATGACATTTGTATCATCCAGTAGCATTTCAGTAACGAGCAGGATCACACATCTTTGGTAAACTGGCACATCTGCAGCTTTATCTTTTCCTAGTGTCATATTCGAGGCTAGATTGGCAAGAGCATCTGCCATTTGATTTTCCTTTCTTGGCACATGTTCTAGTGTCACGGCCTCGAACTTTTGTAGCAGTTGAGTTGCCAGCCGGAAGAATGGGACAAGATCATCTTTCCTCACCTCATATTCAGTTAAGAGTTGATTGATTATGATCTTGGAGTAGCTATATACCTCAAGAGCTGTGATTTCCATGTTGATTGCCATTTGGAGCCCGATGATCAGCGCTTGGTACTCAGGGACATTGTTGGAGCATAACTCACTCAATTTGAAGGAGTAAGGTAGTATTTTCCTTTGCGATGACATGAATAGTACTTCTGCCCTCTCTCATTTTGCTTGTGCGGATCCGTCGAAGAACATCATCCATGTCGAGAAGATGTCGATGTAGAACACCTCATCATCGGGCAAATCGTCTAAGATTTTCCAATCGGTTGGGATCGGATGATCGGTGAAGAAGTCTGCTAGCGTTTATCCCTTGACGGCTTTAGCTGAGATGTAGATGATCTCATATTGATTGAGAAGTAATGCCCATTTAGCTAGTTGCCTTGTCAAAACTGGTTTGGACATAACGTATTTGACCGGGTCAGCTTCAGCAACCAAGTGGATGGTGTAAGCATGCATGTAATGTCTAAGCTTCTGAATGGCAAACACCAAGGCGAGGCACATCTTTTCTATTGGGGAGTAATTCAACATAGCGCTGGTGAGAGTTCGACTGAGGTAATAAAGCGCTCATTCTTTCTAGGATTCATTCTCTTGCACCAAGAGTGCTCCAAGTGAAATTTCCTGAGTGGCGATGTACAATATGAGCGGCTTTTTGGGCACAGACGCCCCTAGGACAGGTGGACTTGATAAATACTTTTTTATACTTTCAAAAGTATTGTGGCATGCTTCGTCCTATACGAACATAACATCTTTCTTCATGAATCAGCTGAACGGTTGACAACGCCTTGCAAGGTTGGAGATGAAGCGTCTGATGAAAGCTAGCCATCCTTGTAGAATTTTCAGCTCGTGCAGGTTTCTTGGCTTAGGCATGTTTTGAATGGCCTTGATCTTTGATTGGTCCACTTCAATGCCACGGTGCTTGACAATGAAGCCGAGGAACTTTCCAAAGGTGACGCCATATGCACACTTTAACGGGTTCATCTTGAGGTTGTATTTTTGCAACCTTTCGAACACTATTTGCAAATCCTTCAAGTGATCTAATCTTTTCTTTGTTTTGACCACCACATCATCTATGTAACATTATACGTTCTTGTGTAGCATGTCATTGAAGATTTTCTGCATTGCGCGTTGATAAGTAGCTCCGGTGTTCTTTAGAGCAAATGGCATCACCTTGTAGCAGTAGATACCTTTTAGGGTGCGGAAGGCTGTTAGTTCCTTGTCTTCGAAAGCCATGAGAATTTCATTGTATCTAGAACAGCTGTCCATGAATGATAGTGCCTCGTGGTCGGTGGTTGCGTCCACCATGATTTCGATGATTGGCAAAGGGAAGTTGTCCTTCGGGAAAGCATCGTTGAGGTCCTGAAAGTCTACGCAAACACGTATTTATCCAGATTTCTTAAGGACAATGACGATGTTGGAGATCCACTTGGGGTATTGCACCTCTCGAATGAAGCCTGCTTCGATTAGCTTGTTAATCTCGACCTCAATTTGTGGGATGAGCTCGGATCGATAGCACTTTTGAGTTTGCTTTATCGGTTGCGTTCCAGGCTTAACTGCAAGACGATGCACAGCGATGATAGGGTCAAGGCCGGGCATTTCTTTGTATGTCCAGGCAAAGACGTCTTTGTACTCTAATAGCAGTTGGTAGTACTCCTCTATCTCGTCTGCACTTAGCAGCGCACTTACGAAGATAGGTTTGGGCTCCTTGCTTGTGCCTAAGTTAAGTTCCTTGATATCAGCAACCGTGGCTTGCCCCCCATCTTCGAGTTGTGGTGGTGCAGCAATGACATCTTCTTCAGGGACTTCGTCTTCTTTGCCTTCTTGGATCGTGATGTGGAAAACATCATAAACCTCTTCTTCAGTGATGTTCTTTCGAGCTTGTTGGCATGAAGATTGTCTAGTGTGGATGATGGTACGCCTTTTTACTTTCAATGGTCCATTTGTGTTAACCTCCAAGATTACTTGGCGTTTTATCCTCGAAGGAATAGAGCTTCGAATGTCATCTTTTTCTGCCAAACCATCGAGCTTTTCTTCTTTTGAAGTTGTCTTTCTCTTTCCGGAAAGCTTTTTGGTTTTTTCAAGTCTTTCCAAAACTGACCGTCGCGGAAGAGAGCTAGCTGTGTTGCTTTGTTTCTTAGGCTTTGACAACTTTCGAAAACAAAGTTTTAGGATGTTGGTGTATTAAGCCTCTTGAAAACGGAGGTTCGGTCTTGACCACCAATGCAATTAAGTGCCAAAATTCTGGGTCTTGAACGATTCATCCTATCGAAGACTGACGTCCGATAGGTGGGTTTAGCCTTCTCTTGATCTTGTTTAATGGTCAAGCTAATGTGTTGAGCGCTAGCATTTTTTGCTTTGCTTGAAATCTTCATGGGTGCATTCGGTGTGAAGCCAAACACAGCTTTGTTATTGTTAACTCCATAACCATGCTCCTTCAACTTCTTTTGAGTCTCGGTGAGGTTACGTTCTTTGTCATCGACGATGTTGGCAACATTTTTTCCAAGATTTGAAGAAGAAGCGAAGCTGTACCCAGCCTTCGACATGAGTTTGTAGGCGTTTGGATCAAAACCTTCTTCGGTCCTCGTGGTTCGAAGAAAGCTTTGTTTTACCCTATTTGGCAGAGCTTTTATGAAGCCTTGTGGTGGTTTTGCAACCTTAGCATCGCTTAGCTATGTCAGAGGCAAAACTGCATTTGTTTTGAGCAATTTCACATCACCCTTATGCCGTTGTGTCTCGGCTTTGCTTGCTCCAGTTTCAAATGGGGATTGACCATTCTTTCTTCTTGATATCGGGATGTATCGGAATATAGGCGTGTTTAGTCCTTTTGAAGGCGTCCTACTCCCTTTGGTCATTGTAGGTTTAGCGGGTTCGTCATCGTTTTTGCTTGAAGATGGCACGACTTGCCCTTCTTGCTTCTTGGGCATGGCTTGCCACTCTTGTTTTCTAGGTGCTACTTTGCCCATGGATTTGATCTTCTCTGGAAGAGCTTCGAGCCTCATGTCTTCATCCATGTAGAACTTGGCATTTGCAAAGTGTGATTCGGCTTTTGTGAATGGCTTAGTATCACCTTGGATCACCTTTACTCTTTCTTGGTAGAATTTCAAGCATTAGTAGAGGGTGGATGGCACCACTCCATTTCCGTGGATCTAAGGCCTTCCTAGGAGCAAGCTGTAGGAAGTTCTTGTATCAATTACGTGGAATATCGTGCTTGATTTGAGTTCACCAATGGTCATCTGTACTTGGATCATGCTTATCGCCCTTTGTCTTCATTGGTTAAAACCCTGGATCAGCAAACGGCTTAAGGACAATTCATCCACCTTGATGCCGATTATGGTCATTGTTGACTTTGGCATGATGTTTATGGTCGATCTACCATCTACAAGCATGCGGTTGACTTAGTGCTCCTTTACGTACCCCGAGACGAAGAGATGACGGTTGTGAGGTTTTGATCCCAGCAGTAAGTCTTCGTCAGTGAAGTTGATTACATCATGGGCGGCACAACATGTGGCACATTCACATGGCTGGAGCTTCAAGCCTTTGTTATTGCTTTCTTGTACTTCATGGTTGTCAGGACTTGCCAAGATCGCTGTTAGTGCTCTTCGCAACTTCTTTGGCAATCGTAGCACTTCCTCGATGTTAAAGTGCGTTAACATACCTTCTTTGGGTGTGAGGGTCTTTTCTTCCTCAATAGCAGTGGCTTTGCCTTTTGAGGGTTCTTCCATTTCCACTTCAACCATGTGACATGCAGCGGCAGTACACTGTTGGAAGAAGTCCTCCGGGAAGTACTCATGCAAGGAGATGGGAATGTGTGGCTCTTGCGTCATAGGTTCCCTAACATATGTTGGCTTAGTAGCTTTTATATTTCTTTTAGGTTTCCTATTGTTGCGATGGCAGTGTTTTCTCCCTCGCTCCCCTTTTGGCCTTGTGGCTTGTGGCTTATGGTCTTGGCTTCCTTATCTTTTTGTAGGTCACCAATGTCCATCCTTCTTCATCATTGGCATGTGCATCTTGGTCACTTACCCCTAGTGAGGGTCATGCAGAAGGTGTTGTGCAGCTTGAGCATTGACGGGAATGGCCAGATGTCACTTAGAGAGGCACGGGATCAAACGATCCAAACGCAATCGTAGTGGTATGCGTTGCGACCGTGTCTTCAAGGCCGAGCTCAATTTGCCCTTGTTATACTAGCTTCGTGATGAGCTCTTTAAGGACGAAGCACTTGCTAACAGGATGGCTCATAATACGATGGTACTTGCAGTACCTAAGATCATTTATGTGACTCATCT